GGATTCCTGGTTCACACACACTGATCACCAAGATTCAGTGAAAGCCAAACTACTTTCTCCATGAGTGCTCTTCCTGGGCTGGGCAGAAGCAGGAAAAGGTAAGGGGGAAGTCTGTGAGCACCACACTCTGCTCAGAGGCCTGTGGAGGTTCATTCATTTTGTGCTAAACCAGTCTTCACCAACCTGGTGCCCTCCAGATGTTTTGAGCTACAACTTCTGATAGCTATAGTACAAAACACACAGAGGGTGCCAGGTTGGCTGTGCTAAACAATAGCTAAATAATAATGTGCAAACATCATGTCCTCCTACTGCTGTCCTTATGAAGCTCACATTGAGTCTGGGGAAATATCCCTTCCCACTCAGGGAATGTAACATCAAGTGGTACTGGATAGAACTGTGTCTAAAAAACTGGGCTTCTACTCACTCTGGCCAATAAAGCACATTTTCCTCTTATTTAAATAAATAAACAAAAGCACATCCTTCTTACTATCTCTCAGCAACAGGCGAGCAAAGCAGTAATGGAGAACAGGATGCTGGACTAGATGGGTCAATGGCCTGATCCATCAGGCTACCGTATATGCTCAGAGATGCTGGGAAGAAATCATGGCTAAATCTCAGCCCGGTATTCTAGTGACACTGCCATGGGGAGCCCAGTGATAGATAGTGTCAGGAAGCACTAGGTGTAAAATCTCTCCACAGTCAGAAAAGTTTCGTGTTTAAAGCACATGAAACTGTCACAATTTGGCCCTAAGCCTTGAGAGATCCTACAAAGTGATTTGCTCAAAATGACAGATTAGCCTTAAAAATAAATCACACTATGAAATCTGCCAACTAACCCCAAAACGGCAAAAACAAAAGTTTATATAATTTCTCTGAAATTCTAGAAATGCAACCTTCCACTAGGGAGTGAAAAATGGCGCGCGCGCGCACACACACACACAGAGAAAATAAAACACGGAGCCGTAAGGCAGGCCAAAATTACAATCTCAACATGACAACAGCATTGAAACAGAATCCAACTGAAAGCATATGGATAGGGCAAATGGATATTAGTATAATATGTAGCTAGTTTTGAAGCAATATTTCCTCTTATTCTAGATAGATAGATGATGGGTAGACAGACATACAGACAGACAGGGGGAAAGAGACTAAGACGGTCTACAGAAGAGATATGGAATCGTTTTACCACGTCGTTCTTCTATTGAAGTTCATCTCAGACACAACAGCTTCCCCCACACTCACTCTGGAGTTGGAAAGCTGACAGCTTCCGTATATTTCATACAGTAAAAAGTTAGCATAGCAAAACAAATCCCAGTTAATGTCATGATTGGCAGGGGAAACTTTAATAGATAAAAGCAGTCATTTCAAACTGAATTAGGCTCCGAGTGAAAAGACGCTGTCAAATACATTATACACATAAAATAAATATACATTTTTGGGGGGAAACCATAGTGGTTGCCCAAAAATAAACAAAGCAACCACATTAATATTTTAGACACTGACAGCACCACAGTCTTCTGTATTTTGCAGGATTTTACAGATTTATTGGTTTCAGTTTTAAGGCTGAGTTTTGTTTTATTTCATCTGTGTTAACCTAAAACAAAGAGCCTCTTATTGGCAATTACCTCCCACACACCTAGCCTCAGAGCGACAGTTTAGGATACATGCTGGAAAGACTTACTTCAGGGAGTAGGATTGACTAGTGATGTACTGTGAGTATGTATGTTCATTAGTAGAAATCCTTCAGCTGAAGCCCAGTCTTCAGACAGGTATTAAGCAGGAGTTCTATCAGTAAGCCCCAACTGTCTATATAAACATGTGTGCTATGATCTGAGCTTTTACACTGTACTCAGCAGGAACACAGCTCTGCTCCTTAATAAATTAGTGAAAAGAGACATAGTAGTACTTTCTCACCTTTATGGAAATAAACCATTTCAAAAACCAAACTGTGCATGCTATTCTCTACTTTATTTTTTTTAGGTGGTACTATTTAAAAAACAGAATAACAATACATATAGGTGACACAACTCTTCAAAACTCTTAGCTGTAGGATCCCACACACCTTTCTACCAGCCCACTCCTCTTGGTACAAGTTTTCACTGCCTTCCACTACACTTAAGCAACAAATCAGTACCAATGTTAATTGCAGTCAAGGCTAACCAGAACTGCCGTTTGAGGCAGCAGCTCATGAAACAGCACAGCACACTACACTACACTACACTACACTACACTACACTACAGCATGCTCCAGATTTCTCAAATGCACAAGTCAAGGATTACATCAGAATCACTGCCAACAATTGCTAATTCCTTGGCTAACATTAATCCACATTTCCTCTAAGCCAACAGCTAAAGAGTAAGGCCACATAAAGCTTCCTCCAAAGTACTCCTCAATCTAGATGAAATATGGGAAACATTTACCTCTCCAGATGTTGCTGAATCTCATCATCCCTGGCCACGTTCTTTAGAGCTGATGGGAACTGTAGTTCAGCAATATTTGGAGGGCCTAAGGTTCCCCATACCTGGTCTAGATGGACTTTCATTTCTTCTTATATTCTTATTAAGAAGATAAGGTGTTACAGCTGGTTGGTCCATCTAGCCTTGATCTTTCTAGTGATACTGGAAGCTGCTCTCCAAGGTCTCAGGCAAGGTCTTTCCCAGATCTGCCCCAGTATTATGGTTTTCCAGAAGCTTTTTGAACCACCCTACATTAATTGGTATCCAATTCAGTATGTTTTATTTTTGCCTTGTTAATTTTATAGCTTATCCAAGATATAAAAAATATAGATATAAACAACAGAAGGTTTTTTACCAATTCCCAAAAGTTGTCAGAAATGAAATACTGTATTTTTCGCCCCATAGGGCGCACCGGCCCATAGGGCGCACCTAATTTTTTTTTGGGGGGGGAATAAAGGGAAAAAAATTATTTTCCCCCCAGGCGCGGGGCTGGGGCGGGGAAAACCCGAGCTTCCCCCGACCCCAGCCCCCAGAACAGGCTGCTATCCGCAAGCCTAGGGAGCCGGGCGGGAAGTCGCGCCGGTCTCCCCAGGCATGCGGAGAGCTGCCCGAAGCCTGGGGCGCGAGAGGGGTCGGTGCGCACCGACTGCTCTCGCTCTCCAGGCTTCAGCGAAAGCCTGCATTCGCCCCATAGGATGCACACACATTTCCCCTTCATTTTTGGAGGGGGAAAAGTGCGTCCTATAGGGCGAAAAATACGGCATTTGGGAGTTGGGAAGGAGATTGTTTTAAATCCTATTCAAACAAATGGTAAACTCTTTTTGTAAATTATTTTTATTAAAATATTTTAAGGCATGGCAACTCAGTAGCATAAACACTTCTCTTACACCGTTAAAAATTTAAGGTGCTAAAAACAAAGTGGACTAATTTTAGCAAACTGAAGGAGATGTGTTTGTTTTTTTAAAAATTACAAAAATACACATGCTTCTCAAGGAGAATTCACATGGGAGAGGGAACAGAATAATAATTCTGAAACTGTCCAATTTTGCTGGTATTATATCTGTTCATTGTTTTAATACTTTTATAAAATGAATTTTTTTCTGCATTTTATCATGGAGAATTTTCCACTAAGGTCTTTGAGATGCAGCAGCTTGAATAAGAGACTTTGCATTCAGTGCATATGCTTCCTCACAGAACTACCGCCAGCAGAGGAATTTGTACAAGAGAGGGGCTAGGGAAAAGACAGAATACAATTCTGTGGTTTCTTCCCAATCTTAACACAGTTAAGAGACACTGGAGCATTGCATCCATAATGTTCCACTGCTTCAAGTACAACATGAAACTGCCTCGGGGCAAGAAGAAGGGCCATACCTCAATAGCAAAGCATCTGCTTTGCATGCAGAAGGTCCCATGACCTATCACTGGCATCTCCCTTGGGGCTTGCAAAGAATCCCTGCCTAAAACCCTGGAGAATCTCTGGCAGTCAATATAGGCAATACTGAGCTAAATGGACCAACTACCTGACTCAGCACAGGGCTACTTTCAAACATTAAAATGATCTGTGGTTGTCACTTTCTGAAGTGCAACAATATTTGGCAATGCTGCAACTTGAGCAATGCCAGTTCTCACTTCCCTTAATTAGGCAAAATTGGATTCTAATATATCCCCAAGGTGCTATAAATCACTAACACCTTGTCAGTTCTTGGTGAGATTGAAAGTGTTAAGGCACGTTTATTTTCCAGTGGGCACCTTGTTTGTCTCCCATAAGGAACCAGATCCTATTTGTTAACAGAAGGCTTCTGTTCAACTTTAAACTTTCATTCTATTATACATTGGTCTCAACATCTGTCTGTGATTTAATTTTTTGAAATAAATATATAAAATATATTTCTGTATTTAATTTATATATTCAATCAAATATATTAATTGTGTAAAATAATTGTAAAATTAATTGTGTAAAATAATGTTAAATATATTACAAACACTTTAATTTACAGTATGGAAATTTAATTCAATGTGCAGCCCATGGGTTCTGCGGCAAAAACTATTGTGGCCCACTTGGTCTGACAGGTTGGATTGCCCTGTGAGTAAACACTCTTAAAAGGATAAGAAAAAAAAAGATCACTCATTAAAACTGTTTTACAGCAAAACCCATTCCAAATACCTTTGGAACTCCCTTTCCAGGAGGACAACCTATAGCTTCATCACTCTGAGTCTTTTTTTAAAAAAATCCTACTGATGACACATTTATCAAGTCTGCATTAGGCTGATTAAAAAAAAGGTTAACATTAGCTTTTCTTTTCATAAGTGTTCAAGCTCAAATTTATCCAGAACTATGATTCTGCCTTCCTCTTGGGCTTTTATTTCAATCTGAATATCAGCAGGTCATCTATAGTCATAGTACACTGAAAAGAATCCCTAAATCAGAAGTGGGGGCAGGAGGCAGGGCAGCTGATAATGTTGGCATCTCTACCCTACACTGTTGCCCTGACGTTCTCCCTCACACACCGCAGAACATCTTCCAAGAGCAACACAGCTTTTGTTCAGGACTATGAGAGAGAGAGAGAGAGAGAGAGAGAGAGAGAATATTGTGTTTTTTAAGGTATCTCTCTCTCTCTCTCTCTCTCTCTCTCTCTCACACACACACACACACACACACACACACTTATTATCCTCAGGCTGAAATTCTTTGGGCATTCAACTTAGGAAATGCTAATATTGAAGTAAAGGCTGTGCTGCCAAGCAGCAGGAGCCACAGCAAAAACACTGTCACAGAGGCCTCCCCGCCATCACTTAGGAGGCTGAACCTTACAAGGCAGAACTGACAAAGCCAGCAGGATCCTGCATACCTAAGGAAAGCACCAGGATAATTTGGTTCCACAAAAGTATCCCATCCGCAGGGGCACAAAAGCATCTACTGTGCTACAACAATGGCCCCTATAACCCATAATATATTAACACACACACACTCAAAGATGGTATGAAACCATTAATGGCAAAATTGGCCCCAAGGAAGACAAGGTATTTGTTGTGTGTAAGGACTGCCATTAACTCACCTCCTTTGTACCTGAACAGTGCAACACAGGTGGCTCACTCAGTCAGATCCCAGAATACATGTTTAACAATAAATAACCAAGTCTTTCATTTTCTTTTTCCTTGGTATAAGCACAGCCAGATGTTTATAGAGCAATCTACATGTCCCAATTAAATGCATGCTTTCAATAGTTATCAGCCAATGTCAAAGCCCTCTTTGTTCTGCAAAGCCCAGAGACAAGAGCCTCAGTTAAGGGGTTTTTTCATTGTCATAGGTAGTCTCCTGCTGGAAATTTCTTATTATAAATGTGCCACCCTGCTGAGCAGAACCCTACAGGAATTAGCTCTTTGCAATTTCCTACAATACCTACTGTGCATCTCAACCCTTTCAAGTACAGAGATTTTTCCCCATTTGTCTAATCTCACTCTTTTGATTTATATTGTTTAGGCAAGGAATATTTTGCATTGTTTAGTTGACTGGCATGGAACATATTTTTTAAAAAATAATCCTAAAATTGTCAGCTACAATGCAAATGAAACAGGTGTGAAGGGATTGTGGATTTCAACTACTTCTACAAGGGCACATGTGAACCAGTGAATGCCAGTTCTAAAATGGGCTCATCTGATTAAGCATCTTCACATCACTGAAAGATCTACACCTAATTGAGGGGCTTCTATTCAGCACTACAAATGAGCAGTTTCCAGTCAGTGCTATTAATAGTGTATAGGAGCTTGGTTCTAACAAGCTTGGTTCTTGTCAACCACAGTAACTTTACCTAATGTTCTGATTACATTTACAGAATAATTGAAGGTTTTCCTAAACCACAGAAAACTACGGCAAAACTAGTCACAGAACCTACCCAAATAAAACACACACCCAAATCCCGTTTCCATTATTCTCTGCCAGTAGATCGAAGATTAATGTTGTCAAATCAAAACTCTCAAATGCGACTGTGCAGTTGTTACAACTGCTCTCCCTCTCACTGTTTATGTGGATTTTAATCACCATATGCCAACTTATACAAAAAATTGTTCCAGTGACACACGGTGGGGTTTTTTTGTAGGAGAACAGTTAGGGTCAGGACCGGGGGGGGGGGGGGAATGCACACGTGACGCTGTGACATCCTGACATCACACACATCCTGAAAGAGACGCCAGGGCTCTGATGGATGCTGTAGCCCTCCTGCCTCGTTTGCAAATCTGGGCGGGCTTTGGGAAGGTGATGGGAGGGCTCTTGGACCCATCAGAGCATTGCGCCTCCCTCCCTAAGCCAGGCAGAAGCTTTGTGGGCTTTAAGAAGGAGAGCCAGGGAAACATTTAGGGGACTAGCCTAGTCCCCTTAGTCCACTGACCGCACACCACTGAATTATACAAATAAAACGTATGATTATTTAAATATAGATTCTGGACACACCATAGAAGCTAAAGCTTGTGCTTTTTGAAACAGGCAGACAAGCAAAATAAATTTCAATATCTTGAACTAATGGCATATCAACTTGTTAATTTGTTTATTGCTTGATAAAGGTAAAGGGACCACTGACCATTAGGTCCAGTCGCGGCTGACTCTGGGGTTGCGGTGCTCATCTCGCTTTATTGGCCGAGGGAGCCGGCGTACAGCTTCCGGGTCATGTGGCCAGCATGACTAAGCCGCTTCTGGCGAACCAGAGCAGCGCACGGAAACGCCGTTTACCTTCCCGCCAGAGTGGTACCTATTCATCTACTTGCACTTCGACGTGCTTTCGAACTGCTAGGTTGGCAGGAGCAGGGACCGAGTAAGGGGAGCTCACCCCGTCACGGGGATTCGAACCGCCGACCTTCTGATCGGCAAGTCCTAGGCTCTGTGGTTTAACCCACAGTGCCACCCGCGTCCCTTATTGCTTAATACTGATCAATAAAAAAAACTGTTTGCCTGTAACCTGCAAGAGAAAAATTCCTGGGGGAAAACACTGAATGTACTTATTTGCCAGAAGAAAGAAACATTCTTAGGGCTGGAGGAAAGGTTTCTTCATTCCATTTGATCACCCAGTTTTCCAGTAGCCCTCTGGTTGGGCAGCAATGAGCTTAGACTCTCCTGGAGAAGATGACTTGAGCCAACTGGGGCTATTTTGGAACAGATATTTTTAGGATGTTGCAAACTGCTTTGAGATTTTCTTTGAAAAAATGAAGCAACACATAAATTATATAAAATAAATAAAAATAAGGGAAAGTTATAAGGATCTCAAAGAGAGGCAAAGTTCTTACAGCAGGGCCCCTTCATAAGTAGTTCTCTTGGAATCTTTGCATTTTCAATGAAGTGTGAGGACCTCTACTTTCGTTCCTTTGACTCAAGTCTAGAAAACAGGGTAACAGTCCTCTGTGCAAAGCAACAACTGAATATGATGCTTCGTTTACTTACTGAAGCCAGTTTAGGTATGTCAAGATCCTAGATTATAAATCCTGATAGCTTTCCCACTCTGATCCTAATCAAAAATGAAAATCAGAGTAGCAACATCTATTTCAAAAGCAATGATATCTCATTCCCAAGAGGGATCATAATGACCAAATACTTGTCAAGATTCTTCACACATGCATCATTGCTCTAATGAAGTAAATAAAAAATGCTTCCCTTAATTGTATGAATGAAATATCTCTGGAGAAAACTGGATACCTGAAGTAACAATATAAGAAGTGTTATAGAGAAATTTTGTAGAGTAAATCTTGTGGCTTGGGTAAAATGCAGTTCTCTGATACCATTAACATATTTCAATTTCACTGTTTAGGGAAGCTTTTAATGTTTGATGTATTTTAATATTCTTTTGGAAGCCGCCCAGAGTGGCTGGGGAAGCCCAGCCAGATGGGCGCGGTATAAATAATAAATTATTATTATTATTATTATTATTATTATTATTATTATTATTGTCATACCAAAGCAAATTAGAAATGTTTGAATACAATTAGAAATTATCCATTAAATTCACATGGAATTATGGCTTATTACAAGACAAAAAAAAGTTCACCTCAACACTGTTCTTGGACTCCTACGGTTAACAATTAATGACACTTTATTGCTGTTAAACTCAATATCTGTGTCTGATCAATACCAAGCTACCAAAGCAGTCTAACAAGTCTGAAACTCCCCTACAAGTACCTATTGATTTTTTTTTAAGGCATGCAACAAAATGACCTACACAAATAACTGAGAATGAAACAGATAATTTAATAAACTCGAGAAAGTACAATGTTATTTCCCTTGGCTTCAATGTCAGAAAATCATAACTCATTATTGGTAGTTAGCACTCTTTTAAGGAGGGGGTTCTATATACAAAGGTGTGATTGCACAATAGTTCTGGTTGCCACATCTCGAAAGGATATCGTAGGGCTACAAAATGTTCAGAAAAGAGCAGTCAAACTGATGAGACCGGAACTGCTCCCCAATGAAAAAAGGGTACAGTATTGGGGGCTTTTTCATTCAGAGAAAAGGCACACAAGAGGAGATATGTAAGAGATGAATAAAACTCTGCATTGTGTGGAGAAAGTGGTCAGAGAAAAGTTTTTCTCCCTCTCTCAATACCAGAACTCAGGCCCATCAAATAAAGCTGAATGTTTAAGAATGAGAAGACACATAAGGAAGTACTTTCGCACACAGCAAATTGTTAAACCTATGGAGCTCACTACCAAAAGATGTAGTCATGGCCACTAATTGGATGATTTTAAAAGAGAATTAGACAAATTCCTAGAGGATAAGGCTATCAATGACTACCAGTCATGACTGGCAAACTTCAGTGGGTTGCATCCAAATAAGTTTATCTCAGAGTTGACACAATTAAATTAATGGCATTAAGTCAATTGTGTCCATTGTTTTAAAGGATGTAATCTGAATAGGACTAACCTTGGATACAGCCCAATATTAGGACTAGTATGCTTCCAAAGAGCAGTTGCTAGAAAACACGTGGGGAGAGTGTTGTTGTGTTCAGGTCCTGCTTGCAGACTTCCCATTGGGCCATCTGGTTGCCCACTATGAGAACAAAAAGCTGGATCAGATGGGCCACTGGCCTGGCCCAGCACAGCTCTTCTTATGTTATGTTCTTACACCCTATGATACCCTGGCATCACTTTGAAAGAGGCACTCTACCCCTCCCTGAGTGGACAGTTGCTTTAGGGCACCTGCAAAGCCCAGCACAACACCAGGAACAAGACCCCATAAATCAGCAACATAACAAAGCCCTATTCCAAAATGTGTGAACAGCCCAATTAGCTATGATAACCTCAACAGGCAAAATAAAGTATGCAGTCTGCTGGAGGTTTACTTTTATCCATATATTTTCGATGTGTATTGAGATTTTTTTTCAATTTAAATTGCATTTTTTGGTTTTTCAAAAGAAACTTACAAACATTCAAAAACACAATCACATACATTTCTAATAGACATCCCCCTCCCTTTTGTGGTTTCTTCTGAATTTAAATTTTCATTCTGAATTTTCTACATTACTCCATCTTTAATTATTCTTTAGTTTCTCATAATAATCTGTTTAACTGCTTGTTTTACATTAATCCAGCTAATGAACTTATTTGCATACACTGAGAAAATGTTTAAGAAAATGTTTAAAAATTTAAGATTTTTTGGGGGGGGGTCTTTTTAGCTC